TGAAAGTATTAAGACTTTATTAGCAAAAAAGTATAAAAACTTCTTGTAAACATCTTTTTTGTGTATGGTCAGAGGATCAGTAAAAAGAGTTTTCATTATACTATATGATATATTGTTCATCCATGTGAATATAGTACTTTCTTCTTCCCAGAAGTATTAAACATTTATATAGTTCCAGTCTTCTAGATAGTTGAAAAGACCTATTTTAACTTTTTTGTATTTAGATGTTGTTTTATTAAAGAGTGACCAATCTACTAGTGGATTAATAATTATATTGAAATTTTCCATGATTATGATTTTAAAGTAATTTCTTTGCTTGTCTAGGATTTTATTTTGAAGTAGTTGTTGTATCTGTCTACTTACAGATTTTTCTGATAACAAATATACTTGATAGATATAGAGCTTATATCTTATTGATAAAAAGTTGACTTCTATTATGTAGCCATTAATTTTTTCTATAGATTCTAGCCTTTTTTCAATATTCTTGTTGATGAGGAGTCCCAATCTAGATTCTCTGAATTTTTTATCATTGCTACTGTGAAAAAACTTGTGTGTTTGTTGTGAAGTAAAGGTGAACTCTACTGCTTTATTTATTAGTTTGGTTTCACAGATACCTAGAATATCTATATTAAGTTCTTATAAAAGTTTATATAACCTTTGCTAATCCAAGCTAGTATTGATTCCTCTAACATTATATGTTTCAACTGAAATTGTATTGACTAGTGAAGAGTTATCTATAATATATTTGTTATATAGTATATATTATTTTTCAATTCTATTGATAGTATTCTTTTTTAGTGTACTTATAAAGTCATTCAGTAATGTATCATATGTTATATCAGAAGAGGTTATGTTAATATCTGCTATTTCTTTTGGGATTGCACCTTTTCTCCAAGATAAGCCTAACTCTTCTTGTGAATTAAACTCTCTCCTAATATATGTTGATTGGACTGGTACTAATTTTAGGAGTAATTATTCCATCACCTTCTTTTTACCCTGTTCTAACTATCTGTTTTTTCTTCAATTAGGTTTATTCTATTATTTAGTTATTTGAGATTGTTTAGGATCTGGTAAAGGGGATCTTGATCACTTTCAATTTTGGGATAGGGACTTTCAGATCTATTGTACCAACATTTTCTATGACAATGTTTTATTGGCTCCCTATTATTATCAATGGCAAAATGTTGAAAAGTTTTTATTGTTTTAGTAGTATATTTATTACCTTGAAAATTATATCTTTTTCTTTTTTCCCTCCTTTCTAGATCTATTTTTTTTTAGAATCTCTTTCTATTTTTGCTTCATCCTCAGATGTTGTATATCAATTAGCCTTAGTATTGTTTCTGATATTAGTTTGATCCAATTGTCTTAAGTAAAGTTTGTCATATATTGTTTTGAAGTGAACTTTCTTATTATTATCTTCATTAGTTTCTGTATAAGTCAATTCTTTATCATATATCATTTCTTTTTCAAAGTGCTTCCTAGTACTCTTACTGATATGATCTTGTCTTTCTTGAGAAGGGCTTTGTTCTTATTTAAAATGTTCTTTAGCACTTCAGGTAAGTTTATCATCATAAATAAATATATACTGTTTTAAAACATTATTCAAATCTTGTACTGATGAGAAATAAATTACTTTATAGGCTTTTCTCTTTAGTATATATGAATTTCTAGGAATGTAACATGATTTGACTTTGGTATATTTGACTGCTCATGTGATTAAACCAGTGATAGTATTATATGTTTCATATAATTATGAATTACGCTATTTTATAATTCTATTAATTTTATTATTATCAAACTTATGTTGGGTGAAGATAGCCCTGATAGTTTTTGTGTTGATATGAATCATCCATTCATCCTTGAGGTTGATATATTTCTTATAAAGGGTAATATGTATCTTGATTCATTGTTGTAATAATGAATAATTATAAATATAAATGTTTGTTGTATGTTTATATTTATTGAGAGCAAATTTGATTTCTTGATATAAGTGATTTCGGTCAATATCTATAAGTATAACTATCAGTGAGGTTTTTTCTTCATCTTTTGTTTGCTAAAAAACTTTTTTATTTGATGGTTAAATAGAATTTGACCATTTCTCTATATTTATAGGTATAATAGTAAAGTTTTCTCCCTTTTTTTTATTAATCTTTTCAAGACATTGTAATGTATCTTCCTTCTCTTTACAACAAAATGTTATCCATATATTGCCATTAATAAATTCTTTTTGGAAGAATTAAAAATCTTTTGGCAAGCCTAATATATTTTGAAAATATGCTATTTGTTCTGTTTTAGTTTTTTCTAGGAGCCTGAAAGTAAACACATATATTTTATATTCATCATTTACCTTGGTATTAAAAGAATTAATACTAAATATCTTTGATCTATTTCTTGTTTAATATATATATTGCTCAACTATATTGTCTTATTTAATCTTTTTACAGATAACTTCCATTTCAATTATATCTTCAAGCTCCTTATCTCTCATTTCAATTTTAGTAATATTATGGATTTCAACTATTGTGGTTGTTTGAACTTCTATAACTATTGCCTTATTTGATGAGCTATGTATAAGAAGATTGTTTTCAGGTATTGTTTGACTTGATATAATATTTTGTAAAAAGTATTGTACTTGCTCTGCTTATTCTATTATGTTCAAGTATTTATCCTCTAAAAATGGAGTTAAAAGATCTTCTTTTTTTTCTTGTCATTTAATCCATAGATAAATGATATGTTGTTTGAGAATATTGGCTTTAATAAAGGTAGTATGATTGATATTCAAAATTTTAGCAATGATACTGTCTATAATTAAGTATTGAGTTGGACCTAAGGTAGGGTTTATGGTAACTTCTTGAATTGAAGTAATATTAAAGAGGGTTTGTGTTGCCTATAGTTTCTATTGTTGATTATATTTGTTTGATAATTGAGTTAAGGTCTTTATAATACATGCTTTTCTTTTCTTAGAAACCTATAAAAGTTTATGTTTCCTCATAGACATGTTGATTATCTGATAGAAAATAAGCTGACTGTGTTTGGTATTATTGTGTTTTGCTGATTATTGTTACTATATTTTCTTAAACACATGTTATAGATTTGTTTATTTCTTATTATTATTTTTGTAATATGGAAAAACCTTGTTGTTTGTTGGGACATATTGATAATATTTATTTCATGTGTATGTTGTAATAGTATTATTAATATTATTGATTAGTCAATAGTAAACATGTGGAGTTATGGGATTATTAATAATTAATTTGCGTAAACACATAAAAAGTATATCAATATTATTTATTTGACATATTTTTTAAGCTTGTTGTGAAAAGTATACATGTTTGTATTTACATAACATAATATTATTGAAATGTTATTGTTGTAATATATATACTTTTTTACTGTATAGTTAATAAAGTTTGGATGTCTCTCTAGGTTTTATAAGTATTTGAACTTGAACTAATTTATCAATTTGAGTTATTGCTTATAAAACTTTACTTAGTATCTAGAAAAGTATTAACCTATATTGGCCTGACTAGAAGCTTTGTGAGATTAATGTTGAACTTCCAAGAGCTTATTATGATTCAGTCTTTCTTGTTGTTTTTCTCTTTCTAAAAGAAAAAAATTATGTAATAGAAGTTAGTAATTTTATAAAACTTATCTTTTCTGCATTCTATAAAGTATTTTTGAACTTGTTTTTGTAAATTGTTTAGTTGTAAAGGTAGTTTTTCTTGTTTTTTTGACTGGTTTCTCTTTTTCTCAAAAAATTATCAAAAAATTTTTTTTCTGAAAAATTGAAATTAGCAGAAAAAGTTTTTTTTTTGTTTTTTTTTTTTGAAGAATAATTAATCTATAATATCAAAATAATAATAATAATATAAAATTCAAATTACTTACTTATAAAAATATTTAATTATAGTATATATCATATTACTTGAGTAAAAATGTACTAATTGATTAATAAACTATAATCTAGCTTGGTTATAATATACAAAATAATAATAATAATCTTTAATTATAAAATTAAGTATTTAAAAATTGATAAAATTAAAATTTATAATAAAAATATAATAAGTAAACTTAAACTTTTGAAAATAATTGTAAAATATTTCTTGAATTTTTTTTTAAGAATTATTCTTTTAAAGCAATTTCACTTGAATATACTAGTCGAATATAAATTTGATTACAATATTTAAAATCAATATAATTAATTTTTAAAAAAATAATCCAACTTAATTTTTTTATCGATTAAAACTTTTTTTATTTAAATATATTAATTAAAGTTAAAGTTTTTATATTTAATTTAATTTTAAAATGTATAACAAAAAAACTTTTATAATTTTTAATTAAAATTTTTTGAACAATACTGATTTATTATTATTATCAATTTATATAATAATTACATAGTAAATACACATAAAGATAGATCTCCTTTTTCTTTCTCCTGTTTTCAAAAGACCTTTTTGTGTAACCAACTTCCAAAATAATGGTTTAATGGTCGAGATTGTAAAGATTATGACAGAATATTATGATATCATAAGAGTAATAACGAAAAAAGAGGTTTTGTTTCTTTGTTTTCGTTGCGTTCAGCAAGCATAAATTCCATGTAATCATGAGTTTGTTGAAACACAACGCATTAGAAAAAGTACCAATTTCGACATAGTCAAATTGAACTACTAGCCAATTTAATCAGTATACGCCACAACGAAACAAACTGCGGATTAATCCCTAGGCTATCAGTTATTATTGCACAACTCACTTTCTCCTTATAAAGTTATAAACTCGTGACACTATTGGGAATTCACGTTACAATTGTGCTTAAACAGTTGCCAGCAAACTCACTCGAAAGTCTCTTGGAAAGAAAAAAAAAATCGTTCCTTTTATTATTCAATATTAACGACTAAAAATAATAATGGCACCGAAGACAGGCGAAATTTCCAATGACAGCTCATCACAAACTGAAGCTACGTCAGTGGGCGACCAACAGGAAAATATATGGTCCTCAATTCTTAAAAGCGTAGCTTCTTCCAAAATGGTTCCTACCAAAAGCTTATTGATTTTAGGTTTGTTTGGTTTATTTCAAGATTTAAAGCAACATTGAATCCAAATATCGCCAGAGAAAGTATTTAATTAAACTAATGATAACGGCACATGTCATCTCATATTTTCTAAGGTGACAGAGAATCTGGCAAATCCACTCTCATCAGGCACCTTAAAGGTGAAGAAGACGAGGACGTTTATGAAGTCCCAGAGGTAAATGGTAGTGCCTCAAAGGATGTCGGCATCGGTACAGATGACACTTCAAATAAAAAACCTTCTCAAAACGACTTTGCATTAAGTTACACCTTTGTGGAGATAAAAGATGACGAAGCGGAGGGTTAGCGAAAAAAATTTTTAGTGGAAGCAATAAATTCCAGGAATCGATCAATAATTCTATATCTTCTGTTTATTTTTAGATACTCTTGCCCGTCTTGGATTATATCAGCTAGCAGGGTCTCAGGATGCATATCAGTCTCTCCTTCGTTTTTCTCTTAATTCCACAACCCTTCCGGATTCTCTTGTGGTAATTGTTTTGGATTGGGCACGCCCTTGGAATTTTATCGAAACCTTACAACGATGGGTTAAGTTTGTTGAACGTGGTATTGAAAATATTAAAACCGAAGGAGCCAGTGGGTCCAAGGATGGTTGGACTAAAGGAAAAGCCATTGTCGATGAAATGAAAGAAGCACGTAAGTGTGATCACAATCCTTTTTTTATGGATTCAATTGATCATTATATTCAAACATTCATTTTATTTATTATTCACGTAATGGAAAGTTGAACATTTCGTAAGAAATTATGATGGATCTGACACAGCCAATACAAATGGAACATCTGAGGACGACGAAGATGTTGCGTTGCCTTTGGGCCCTGGTACTCTGACTACGAATTTAGGTGTACCATTGGTAGTAGTTTGCACCAAGGTAAATTAATGACCTTTGATGAGCTTCAACAATATTTAAATGGCTTAATACTAATTAATTATTATTATTATTATTGAATTTTATTTTTAGTCCGATAAAGTTGGCGAAATAGATTATAAAGAAGACCAGTTCGATTTCATACAGCAGAGCTTGAGAACTATTTGCCTCAAATGTAAGTGAAACCTTTGATTTATCGATTTAGATATTCGTTGCGATCTCAAAGTTTTGCACCCGATAGATGGTGCTGCGCTCTTCTATACAACAACTCGACAACCAAAGACCTTCATCAACTTGCGCCAATATATTCTTCATCGACTTCTCGGGTCTAAGGCTTCTTCCAGTGATACGAAATCTTCCTACGCTTTTAATATTGAGCCAACGTTTGTTGAACGTGAGACGGTATTGATTCCCGCCGGTTGGGATTCTTGGATAAAGATTAAAGTTATGGGGGAAGGATTTAACTGTGAGGGATTACTTCAAGGATGGGACATGGACATTTCCGGTCGAACCGAGGTACAAGATGGTGTTGAGGAAATTTTCAGCGCAAATAAGATATTTAATGATGTTGTTGATAGCTTTGAGAACGACAAGGTACGCTCAAAAAGTTAATACTGTATTTATATATCTAATTACAACATATTAATGATAATTTTTGACATTTTAGCCACTTAGCGGTCCATCAATTATTGAGGCAGAAGATGAACAAGCGTTCTTTGCTCGTCATGTCGAAACCCTACTGAAAGCAAATAATGAACGTCCACCATCGGTTGTTGGACCAATGAGTGCACCTTCAGTCACTTACGGAAATTTTGGAGACATCCCAGATCTCGATGTTATTACACAAGTACCAAGTTTACCCACTTTGCCTCCAAAACCAACCAGAGTTAGTATACATTCTTTGCTATCTGGTGATTTTAGTTTTCAAGAGTTTTATATTTATTATAACCTTTTACCTAGACAAAGTCCACTTCTTCAAACTCATCCCCACCTGTTCAAGTTTCGAATGGTACTCCGGTTGTTACAGACGTACCGCTCACAGCAGCACCTACAACCCAAAACGAAGTTCTTGCGAACTTCTTTGCAGCTTTGCTTACTAAGAAAGGTAACGCAACTCAAACACCCTCCGGTTCAGGATCCTCGCAATTGTCATCCCCAACTGATCCGTCCAGTAACATTTCTGCGAACACCAAACCATCACCATCGAGAAAGATGGTAGAGAAGGAATTGGCTAATATAAAAATATCTAATAGTACCGCTGTTAGTAGTACAGCTGCGAAATAAGATTCATGGTTTAAAGTGTGGGACAATTTTATTTTATTATTATTATTATTTTTTTTATATGAAAACACGTACGATTTATGGAGTGAAATTTAAATACAAAATACTTATACTATGTTTAACTCTATATCCTAACTACTTTGTGAATATCCACTCGAATACAAACCTTGTATCAATATGGTAAATTAAATACACCAATTTAAATGCCTTTAATAAGATATTTAAAAACACAAAAAAAATTTTTATTGTATTTTTTTTTTTTTTTCTAAATAGTTTTCTTTTTTCAAATACAATAATGATGTTTATTTCTTGATAATTTATTTATTGGTCAAAAAAATGTGGGGTGTCATTTATAAGTTTAATATAGTGAGAGGTTATATTGAAGGGTTCGTTCATGATCATCAACAATCGATACTTTTCGGTTATTCATGCACGAGGTGCATAGAAGTGATCTTCTCTTTACGTGATTGTGAAACTCGAGAGCGGTTTTTTTAAACACGGTATGTTGAATTATATACAGTAAATACAAAACAATAACTATCGATTTCATTATATTAATGTTGATTTCTTTTAGTTTTCTTTAGCCAAGGCAATTGATGATATACGTATATACTTTTTATCATTTATTAATTACAGTATATTAAATTAGTGTAAATTTTTTTTGATTAATAATATTTACCTATAATGTCGTATTAATTGAATAATTTTTTTATAATTTGCAATTACTGTATATCTTTATGAATAGTAATAAAACAATCAATTACAGTATATTGACACTTGATAAAATAAATAATTTATTTTTATATCTTTTTAGTTGAAGGATTAAGCTATTTTAAAAATATAAAAAAGTTCACTTTTAAATTAAAAAAAATTTTTTAATTTACAATTATGCCATTATAGTATCTTTAATTTTTTTTTTTTTTGAGTACCCATAGCCAGGCTAGATTGTTAGTTTATTAATCAATTGAAAATATAATTCAAGCAGCATGATACATACTATAGCTAATGATGAGTCCCTAAAGTATTTGACACATAAAATTTTGCAGATCACTTATGTCCTTTTTTGAGGGACAAAATTCATAGCTCTTTACTTTAATAGGAACAAAAGTCTGAAAATGTTATAAATCAATGATTTGAATAATGAAGAATAATTATAAGTAGTTTTTTTATAGTTATTATTTTAAAAATTTTAATGTTTCCTAGTGAGGGACATTTGATTTTTGTCCTTACCTTTCCCTTTAGTGACCCATCTTTAACTATAATTAAACTATTATTCTAATCTAATTAACTTATTATAAACATAAAAGCCTTTAAGTTTGGCCTTGAAGACAATATTTCACTCTGCAATATCTTTGGATGAAAATCCTCCTAGTCCACTGCATCATTGTTAGCAGGTTGTCACTGTTATATGTTGATCCAAGCTACTGGAATACAAGAAACTATAAAAGGATGGGTTGAAAAAAGGAGAAAAGAAATATCTAAAAATGTTTAAATAGATAACAAGAAAATGAAAAAATAAAACTGAAAAAAATATTTTCAACTTCTTCCAAAAACCTGCTTTTCAAGATCTCTTCTCAATAAGAAATACCTGATTGGGATATCCTTTCTTTTTTTTAATCATTTGAGGAATTTATCTATTCTTGATCTTGATTTCCTTTTTATGTACCATTTGAGGAAACTTATCATCTAGTGAAAGTCTTTACTTCCAAAACATATTTGGTCCCAACCTTCTTTAAGCAGTGATTTTTTATTCACCTATGATAAAGAGATGACTTATGATAGACTTTAGGTTCTTATGTAACCTAGTAAGAACTGAATCATATTGTTTCAATGTGATACTTTCCAGCAGTCATGACTAATTAAAGGAATTTTACTGATATATATCTTCTATTACTCAAAAAATCAGATTTCTCAATAATCCTTTTGCATTATAATGGTGAAAGGGTTTTGAGAGTGATGGGAATTCTCATCAATTATGATGTTCTTCAACAACTTCTGAGAAAATACATTCTCAGCTATAACTAAAGAGTTAGTTAGATCTTAGTATGGACTAGAGACCGTTTAGTTTTATTGCCTGACTAGAATAAAAAAGAAACCTTGATCTTGAACTTTGCTTGACTGAAATAATAAGAGAAAAAGATCTCAACTTAAACAAATAACAACTTTTTCATCACTTGAAGACTTGTTACTTATATTTTATTGATCTTATAGAACTTGATCTGTAGATTAATCCAATTGGAGAAGTGGGATGGACATGAGATACCAATCAATTTTTTCAATTATCAATGACATCATTAGAACATATGAGATGACTAGTAAGAACTTGTTTACCTTTAGTTACTAACATGTTTTATGTTAACCAATCAGAT